AAAACATATATTATATATATAAAATCTGTAATATAATAAATTATACGTAACATAATGTCCTCCCGTTGTTCATCGAGTTGCTCGAGCGGGCCCAGTAACGTCTCCATTGAAGACTTTGTTGTTACTGTGTTTGGCATATCAAATACATCACGGGTAGCTTGCCAGGCTCTGCCGTGCGGGTGAGATACACTCGGTAGCTTGCGGGGCTCCCCGAGAGGGGCGGAGGAATCGAACTCGGGTCGCGCCATGTTGGCTACGTGCAAGGCAAACGCCCTACCGCTGTGCTATCGCTACAGCCCGTAACATAATGTATCATCTATTATATATAATCTTGGTCTTTTTCTTCTTGAAGTTGCTTGGAACTTCCTGAATGTGCCCTACCTGCTGTACAAAACAAGGACAAAAGCTCTTCACCTGGGGCTGGAGTGATAGCACAGTGGGTAGGGCGTTTGCCTTGCACGCAGCCAACCTGGGTTCGATGCCCAGCATCCCATATGGTCCCCCAAGCACCACCAGGAGTAATTCCTGAGTGCATGAGCCAGGAGTAACCTCTGTGCATCACCGGGTGTGACCCAAAAAGCAAAAAAAAAAATAAATAAATAAAGCTCTTCACTTGCTCCTCAGCCAGAATGCAGCTTGCTAACAATTTGTTGATTTGGGGCCAGAGTGACTGTTCAGCCGGTAGGCACAGGGCTTGTACACAGCCAACCTGGTTTCAATCCTGGAATCCCATATAGTTCCCCCTCAGTCAGCCACGAGGGGCCTCTGAGGTCTGAGCCAGGAGTAAACCATGGGCACTGCTGCATATGGCCTCCAAACAGACCAAGACAACAATTTGCTGATTTGCTTTATTTGCTTTGGGGAGGGCAGAGTGTCATACCTGGTGAAGCTCAGGGGTTACTCCTGGCTCTGTGCTCAGGGATCACTCCTAGCATTGCTTGGGCGACCATATGGAATGCTGAGGATCAAACCCAGGTTGGCTACTAGCAAGGCAAATGCCCTCCCCGCCGTATAATTGCTCCCCCCTATAGAAAGTAAATTTCAGTTCTAGACTCTGGGGCTGTTTCCAAGCAGAGGGGTGTTTCCTCACAGTCCTGTAGTGGTCCAAGGGGGGCTCTCCCAGTGCAGCCTATACCCCAATCAAGCCACAAAACCTTCTTCCTGTTCTGCCTCCAATCTAAGATCACTAGGGAACATTGGTTGGGCCGTACCCAGTGATGATGGCAGGCACTCACTCCCTGGGGATCGCAGCCTGGATTCCCCACATGCTTTGCAAGCACTCAGCCCTCGTGCAATCCCTAAGGCCCTGTTTAGTTGCCTTGGGTTCTGATATTTTTGGGGTTGTTGCCAATGAAGGAATATACACATTTGGGGGGTACTGGAGCCACACCCGGCAATGTTCATGGGTAAATTCTAGCTCTGCACTCAGGAATTACTCCTGGTGGGGCTCAGGGGACCCTATGAGATGGTGGGGATCAAATCTGGGTTGGCTGTATGCAAGGCAAATGCCTTACCCGTTATACTATCTCTCTGGCCCTCTTGTTAATTTCAGTTTGGGGGCCAAACCTGGCAGTGCTCGGGCCTTACTCCTGGCTCTTTACTCAGGGATCTCTCCTGGCAGGCTTGTGGGACCATATGTGGTATCAGGGATCAAACCTAGTTTGGCTGCATGCAAGGCAAGTTCCCTACCTGCTGTACAGATGAATTCTATTTAGTTTTCATACTTTCAAAACATATATTTTAAGATGCATATGTAAAAGATATACATATGCTTTTATATGTATATATATATATATATTTCTTAGCACCAACCATTATTTTTTAAGATTTGGCAGCTTGGGGCTGGAGCGAGCAATGGGTGGTGACTTTGCTTTGCACGCGGCTGCCCGGGGTTCGATCCCTGGCATCTCATAGGGTCCCCTGAGCCCCACCAGGAGTAATACCTAAGTGCAGGGCAAGGGTAACTCCTGAGCACTGACAGGTGTGAGCCAAAAAGCCAAAAAAAAAAAAAAAAGACTTGGTAGCTTGCATTTGGAGAAGCCGGTCACTGCCTGAGCTAACCCACAGTGGTGATAAGAAAAACTTGGCTGCACTCAGCGAACTGAAAGAATTGCTTCTGGTTTCTCAGAAAGCTGGGTGGTCACAGGTAAGGGGAAGGGACTTGGCGGCGGTGGGTCAGGGGTGCACTGAGGCCTTCGTGCGTGCACGTCCTGCACGAGCCTCCAGGGGAAGCAGGGCAGCTGAGGAAGGACACACGCCCAGTCCCAAGGCCAGGAGGCGCAGAGGGGATTTCCAGACCCTTTGATTTAGAGAAGTGACTTACGAAGGTCAGTGCCCAAGCATCTTCAAGAGCCAGTTCAACTCTTGAACCCGGGGATGAGTTCTCACACACAGAGAGGACCTTCACCCACAGGTACAAGGACGCTCTCTTGCATGCGCCAGCCTGGCAGTGGCCTCTGGACCCTCATGAAATCTTCTTCCACCCACCCTTGCCAAGATGTGTGTTGATGTTCCCATTTTACAGAGGAGGAAACTGAGGCTCGTCGCAGCGGAGGAGCCTCACCCAGCCCCAAAGAGCCTTTGGGAGCAGAACCCTGCGTTGCTAGGTGTGGGGATTCCTCCCTGGTCTCTTTCCCTTTTTAAACATCCTTGGAATTTCAGCGGGGGGGAGGGGGGAGAAGGGGGAGAGGGGGAGAGGAGAGAGGGTCCCTAGGCTATCCAGATAAAACTACATTTCCCAGCCTGCCCGGTGTTAAGTAGGGCCACATGACTGAATCCTGGCCAATAGAAGGGCTGAGTATGACTCCTGGGTGGAACCTCTAAAGGCAAGGGCACAAGTGTCATATTTTTGGTTAGCTCTGCATGGGAAGGTGACCATATGGGGGACTAGAGCAGCCCTCTTGGACTGTGAGGGGCGAGGCAAAGGCGAGAGAGCAGTGCAGCTGCTTGAACCAGGGTCTCCTGTCTCCCAGCCACTGTTTTAAGTCTTGAGTTTTAACAGGCTCTTTCTGTGAGAGAACAGACGTTTCTTAATGAAATCACTGTAGATCTCACTTTCTTTGTTTGTCCGTTTGTTCGGGGCCACGCCCAGCAGTGCTCATGGCTTACTCCTGGCTCTGCACTCAGGAATGAGTCCTGGCCGTGCTCATATGGAGTGTCAGGGACCAAACCCGGTAGCCTGCATGCAAGGCCAGGCCCCTCCCTGCTGTGCTATTACCTTTACAGCAATGAAAGGTAAAGACATTCATCTGGGTCTTTCTTTTTTCTTTTTTTAGGGGCTCAGTGGACGGGAGCTACAGCGGGTAAGGTGTTTGCCTTGCACATGGCTGACATGGGTTCGATTCTTCCGTCCCTCTCAGAGAACCTGGCAAGCTACCAAGAGTATCCTGCCCGCACGGCAGAGCCGGGCAAGCTCCCTGTGGCGTATTTGATATGCCAAAAACAGTCACAACAAGTCGCACAATGGAGACTTTACTGGTGCCCACTAGAAGCAAATTGATGGGAAAGACAGTGCTGCCATGCTGAGGGCTCAGTGCTGAGGGGCTATTCCTGTGCTCTGCAGTGACCCCGAGTGGTTCAATCTCCAGCACCCATGCTCCGCCACCCCCAGAATGATGCCTTCCCCACAAACAAAAAGCAACCACTGTCATTTGTAACCCAGGGTCTGGCAGGAAGCACACAGGGAAAGGTGGCTGACCTTTCTCACAGCGGCCTGGGTGGTGGGGACCCACCTGGGTTCTGGTCCCTCCTAGAAGGTCCAGTTTGGCCTCTGCCCATTCATCTTCTCTTCTGGAGAGTCACATCCCCAACAAATCATTCCATCCCTTTACCAAGACCTTGGGAAAACTACTCTGCTGAAGAAAGAAATTTGGATGCCCCCCAAATCTTCGCGTGTTATTTCCATGCCAGCCGGCTGGGGGCCCCACTGGCGGCCCTATAAGCAGAAGCAGGAGGCCATGGGCTGGAGGTGCAGCTGGGAGCAGGTTTCTGAGGGTGAACGGGCTGCTGGCGGGAAGTACACAGGAGCTGCCTCTGAGAGCTGGGAAAGAACAGAGCAGATTTTCCTGGAAGAAACCAGCAGGGGCTGGATAGTACAGCATGGAGGGTGTTTGCCTTGCATGCGGCCAACCTGGGTTCGACCCCCGGCATCCCATAGGGTCCCCCGAGCACCATGAGCAATTACTGAGTGCAATGAATGCAGAACCAGGAGTAACCCCTGCACATTGCTGGGGTGTGGCCCAAACAGAACACACACACACACACACACACACACAACCTAACAACCCCAAACCAGCTGGCATCTCTGTCCCTGATTTGAGACTTCTGACCACTAGAACCACCACCAAGACTACAGTGATAGTACAGGGGATAGGAGAAGAGGGAGCCTGCCTGGCATTCATTCAGTTAACTCGGTTCCCTAGATAGTCCCTTGAGCACTCTCAGGATCCCCACTGAGTGTAGCCCCCAAACCAAGAACCAAAACCAAAATGGGCTGACTAGAGGGCTTTATGGCGCTGTGACATGGTGACATTTGATTTTTCTTTTTTTTTTTGCTTTTTGGGTCACACCTGGCAATGCTTAGGGGTTACTCCTGGCTCTACACTCAGGAATCACTCCTGGCACTACTCGGGAGACCATATGGGATGCTGCGGATTGAACCTGGGTCGGCTGCGTGCAAGGCAAATGCCCTACCCATTGTACTATCACCTTGGCCCATGTTAACACTTGAGGTATATCAGGTGACAAATATGGCTGAGATGGCCCCAACTGCTTCCACACATCCACACGTACCTGCAAAACTGGCATGTCTGGCTCTTGAATGGGGACCCCCAAACTGCATAATCCCCCCAAGAAAACCACACCTAGGTGTCGCACGCACCCCGAGTGCCTATGGAAGCCCATGGGGTCTCATGGGAGAGGGTCGTCCCCGTCACTCCCATTCACCCTAAGCATTTTGGAATTCCGTCACACATCACATCTGTCTGAGATCTTTGGGAGCCCCTCACCGCGTGGCCTGGATATGAGGGACAGACTTGCAAACATCCACCTGCTTTTCTTCGCTTCCTGCAAGTGAGGCCTCACAAGCAATATGGTACAAAAATAGTTTATTACAAAAGAAATCCGACCAAAATGCCTAATAATTTACATTGCTATCAGTGCCCGGCCCGGCCCTCTTCTCCCTGTCTATTGAGTGGGGTCGAAGGCAAAGGAGAGAGGGGGTTTCCTGCTTCCACCAGCTCCCAGGAAGGGGCTGTGTGAGTGGAACTGCAGAGAGAGGGCGGGTGCCTGAGAATCATGGGGCTGGGTGGGGGTTTCGGGAAGGGCGAGGTGGAACAACAGTGCTCAGAGTAGATGCAGGTGCCGCTGTGCAAATCCTGGTCCCAAAGACTGGGGGTGGGGTGGAGTGCAGAGTGAGCAGTTTCACAGTTTCCAGGAGGGCTGACCCCATTGCGCAGGAGGGGTCCCTCCTCATGAGTCCGACATCTGCCTCCGCCCCGCCCCCCATTCTTCTCAGCTGCCTCCTGGAGCCGGGGAGGGGGGCACTGGCCGGCCAGGGCCTCGGAGGACTCCAGGAAAGGGCCGGAAGGCAATTGGGGAGGGGGGACTGGAGGGCACCATGGAGAATCGGGGGAACTTCCTGGGAGGAGAATGGGAAGGCGAGGAGGCCGGCGAGGCGGACAGCAGACCTGTGGGGGCAGAAGAGCAGGGCGGGGTGAGGGCCTGAGAAGAGGGGTCCCAGTGCTCCCGGATCTCAGGGTTCACCCCCAACCCCAGCCGCCGTCGGGGAGTGGGGCTGGAACCGGCTTCTCACCATTGGAGCTGAGGTGGCTGCTTTCAGGGGAGGGGGTGGCCCGGCGCTCGGGGGAGGGCTCTGGGGGTACAGGCGGGGGCCGCGTGGCCTTTCCCCGCAGGATGTCTATGACCTGTGGGAGACGAGGGGGGTGGGGAGGTTCAGCACCAGGCGCCCCTGCGAGGCCGGGCGCCTTCAGAGTTGGCGAAGGCGAGTGAATCCTTTGCTAGTTTGCGTGCCTCAGTTTCCCCTCCTGAGCGCCCCCCCACCCCCCGGCGCTGACCCCAGGCACGCTGGCGCACACCCACTCCCCGGCACGTGCATGCCAGGTCCCCGGGGCCACCTCTCTCGCATCCCTGCGCGCCTCCCTCGGACCCGGCCTCCTCCCCCTCCCCCCGCCTGCTTCCTCGACCCCGGCCGCCCCGGCCCAGCGCACGCACTCACCAGGCGGTTGCGCGCCACCATCAGCGGCGTGTCGTTGTGGCAGTTCTTGAGGCCGCTGTCCGCGCCACTGCGGACCAGGGTGCGCACGAGCGGGAGCAGTCCGCGGCCCGAAGCCGAGTGCAGCGCCGAGTTGCCCGAGCACATCTGCGCGTTCACGTTGGCGCCGTGCTGTGGAACGGGGACCAGAGCGGGGGACATGAGGATGAGGGCGTCAGGACCCGGACCACCCGGGCGCGGGCGCACAGACTGAGCACGCCAGGCCCGGGAAAGGTGTGGGCGGGGCCTGAGAGGGGCGGTGAGGGAGGAGTCTCTGTGTGGGTGGAGCCAAATGGGGGCGTGGTCTACAAGGGGCGGTGAGCGGGCAGGCTCGAAAGGGGCGGAGCCTTGGAAGGTGCAGCCTGCGTGGGATTGCGAGGGCAGGACCTGAACGGGGCGAAGCCTGAGAGGGGCGGGGCCAGACGGGGCGGGGCCTATGTGGGACGGGGTCCGAGCGGAGCGGAGGTTGCCGGGAGGTAAGGAGCTGGGGTCTGGCGGGGCGGAGTCTGAGTGGGCGGGGTTAGGTCGAGGGTGGGGCCTGGACAGGACCAGTTTTGGCAAATACAGAGACTTACTTAGGGGTGTCCGAGAGAGGCAGGAACCTGGGTCAGAACCAGGTTAGGATAGGGAATAGAAGGTTACACCCAGAGCCAACGACTGGTAGTGCTGGACCCACCATCGCTAGACCTCGGTCGGGTGCATGGAGGGGTGGAGTCACAAAGGAAAGGGAAAGGGATCCACGCATCTCCCGCACATCTTGGGAGGACCCAGCCGTGGCGAAGGGCAGCTTGGGAACTGGGCCAAAGCCGGCCGGCCGGGTGAGCAAAGTAATCACTAGGAGGAACCAGGCCTTTGAGGGGGAGATCAGGAGAGGGTTCACAGTAAGTTTGCAGCCTGGGGACTGGCGGGGAGATGTGAAGTCACCAGGTTGACAGAACGGGGCCCAAAATGGAAGGTTCAGAGCTGGAAGCGAAGCAAGAGCCAGACCTAGCAGCGGGGTCAGTGCCAGCGATGGGGGCGAGAGCCGGGTTGGTGCCAGAGAAAAGGGTGGCAAGAGGCCAGGGGTAGGAGTTGTGCCCACCTGCAGCAGCAGCTGCACCATGTTCAGGCTGTTGTTTTCCACGGCGTGGATGAGCGGCGAGCGGCCGCTCTTGATGTCCTGCGGCAGGAGAGGTCTTTGAGTGCCTCGGAGCCCCGCCCCGACAGCTGGCTGCTGGCATCCTAGCCTGGGGTCTGGCGCCTCATTCCGTTAGACAGTGCAGCCCCACCCCCATATCTCTGAAGCGCGCCCGCGGACCACGCCCCGCTGCCCCGCCCCTCCAGGCTCCGCCCCCTGGTCCCGCGCATGCTCACCACTGCGTCAATGTCAGCTCCGCGCTCCAGCAAGAGCCTTACAGCGTCGTGACACTCGGTGTTGACAGCCACGTGCAGGGCTGTGAGCCCTAAGAGACAAGCAGGCTCTGTTAAACCCAGGGCTGGGGCTCGCCAGACAGTCTCAATCCGTACCCCATGTAGCTGCTTACCGTCGAAATTGCGGGCCTCCAAGTCAACGGTGCCCGGGGCGGCATTGTCCAGCACGGCCTGCAGGCAGTTGGGGTTGCGGTGCTCGCATGCCAGGTGGGCCGCTGTCTGTCCATTGCGGTCCAGTGCCATGGGGCTGGCACCAGCCATCACCAGGAGGCTGACCACCGCCGGCAAGGTGGTGATCACAGCCAAATGCAGCGGCGTCTGGGGCGACAGAGACTAATCAGGGACGGATGCCTTCCCTTAAGGCCCAGAACGGTTGGAGTCTCCTTGTTCTCCACCTCCAGGCTCACTCGGGAAGCAGAAATCAAGAGCGCCCTGCCTTGCAGATCCAGAGCCTCTCCTTCTCCAGGACACCCCAAAGCCTCAACATCCGCCCATTCCTCCCTCAGACCCAGAGTCCCGGCCCCACACTCACCTGCCGGAGATTGTTGTAGATGTCCAGATCCCGGCCTCCATGCTGGAAGAGGGTGATCAGCTGATGCACAAGGGGGAGGTTACCCTGCACCACAGCGATGTGGAGTGGCCTGAGGGTGAGGGGAATCACAGGCATTAGGGAGAGTCTCCTCTCCTTCTCTACCACTCGGTGCTAACTCTGGTGTGTGAGGGCTGCCTGAGTCCATCCCACCCTAGTATCTCTGGGGCTCATGCTGGGCCTCTGCTCACACGGCAGCGGGGTGTCTGGATGCCTCTCCCACCCCATCCCTGACCCTGCTGCATTTCCCTCGCAGTCCTAGACATTGCACCCTGCACTTGTTCTCCCTGCTAGAATGGGGAACCCTCTCATGCCCAGTGCTATGTGGGTGCCTTCCACACACGCTGAATGTTTGAGGCATACCTTTTTGGGGGGCTCTTTGGGTCACACCCAGTGATACTCAGGGGTTACTCCTGGCTCTGCACTCAGGATTTACTCCTGGCGGTGCACAGGGCGGGGGTGGGGTGGGGAGGGGGAAACACGACTCAGATGCCAGGAATCAACCTGCGCTAGCCACAGATGCCTTCCCCACCCTCCCTGCTGTCCTATCACTCCAGTCCCAGGCGTGAGTCATTCCTAAAGGGCTCCAGAGCCAGCTCTTAGTCCCCTACACACCCCCTGCCTCTGGGCCACCAATTCTCTGATCTGAGAGGGGAAGATGAACGGGGCTCTCCAGGTTCATTCGGGGTCATCTGACTATCACATCAGCCTCCAGCCCCAGGGAACAAGGGCAGGCTGGTGAAGGGGATGAAATTTGGCCTTGAAGGGAGCGGAGTTAGGGCCAGGGCTGGAGCCTCTGGTTGCATCCCTAGCACACATGGTCCCCCAGTCCTGCCAGGTATGGGCCCCAAACTGAAGTAAACTGAAGTAATAAACCAAAAGAACAGCCAGGTATTGGGCTGGATTGACAGTACAGAGGGTAGGGTGTTTGCCTTGCTTGCTGCCAACCTAGGTTCAATCCCCAGAATCCCATAGGGTCCCTTGAACACCACCAGGAGTGATCCCTGAGTTCAGAGCCAGGAGTAAACCCTGAGCATTGCTGGGTGTGACCCCAAAAGAAAAAAAGAAGAGAACAACTAGGTGGGCCTAATCAAGATATGGACCTGGTTTCAGATGCTGGGTTGGGGAACCCAGGGCCCCCAGCTTCCGGGCACATAGCCAGTGAGTGGGGACAGTCACCCCCGCCTTGGGCATCCAATGATTGTCTAGTGGTATCAGCTTGGTGGTATCATCTCCAAAAGCCCCCTCAACTCTGATAGTCCCAGTTGGGAGGCAAGGAGGGCCTGAGACACTGCAGAAACCACTGAACTACCCCACTTCTCACTCTGCAGTGTTTTTTTCTGGGGTCCAACCTGGAGCAGCACTAAGAATGGAGGGCCAGCCACGATAGCACTGTTGTGTGTGTGTGTGTGTGTGTGTGTGTGTGTGTGTGTGTGTATGGGGGCGTGGTGACATCAGCTCCATGGCTGTGAGATCGACAGCGTAGGGCTGGAGGGATAGTATAGCGGGTAGGGCGCTTGCCTTGCACGTGCTAAGCCAGCACTCCATAAGGTCTTTTAAGCTCTCCAGGAGTAATTCCTGAGCACAAAACCAGGAGTAACCCCTGAGCATTACCAAGTGTAGGACGCCCCCCCAAAAAAGGCTGACAGTGTAAACAGGGACTGCGAGCAGTGTGGACAGAGTCCACAGAGACCAGGAAGTGGCTCTGAAGCCGAGAACATGCTTTGCATATGCGAAGACCTGGGTTGGATTCTTCCCCCACCCCCAAAGTCCATTTGCTAGAACTGCCTTTTCTTTGTTTTACCTTTGGGACACACCTGGGCTGACTCTTGGCAGGGCACAGAGGCCATCATTGGTGACAGGGAACAAACCACATGGTCCCACATCTATGGCCTTACCCCCTGTACTAACAGTCCGACCCACAACTGCTTCTTTGGGAACCAGATTCTCCCAACTGTAAACATAGATCCTGAATCCACTTTTTTTTTTTCTTGGGGGTGGGGGTGTTGGCAGGGGGAGGCCCACAGCTGGTAGTGCCCAAGGACTATTGCTGCTGATATTCTGGGAACGACGTGGGGCCCGGGGCTACCTGACTGTGCTCAGGAGCAGCTTTGGCGGTGTTCAGGGGACCCTATGGGGGTGCTGCAGATTTAACGCAGACTGGCAGTTGCTGCCTCTCAGGCCCACATTCTGCTTTTCTGGGTGTGCGTTTGAGGATCATCTCAAGCTTAGGGGATCATTCAGTGCTGGCCCTCAGGTCTCAGGGCTGCAGCAGGCAAAGTACGCACACTGAACCCCTGAGCCATCTCCCGCATATGTCATTGTTTGGATTTACTTAGTGACTTATCACTTTATTTCTGTTGCGGGTGGGCTGGGGCCACCCCTGTGTTGCTCACAATCTGACTCCTGGCTTGAGGCTTGCAGGTGTCTCCTGGTAGTGTTTGGGAAACCGTAATGCAGTGCCTGGGATTTGAACCAGGACTGGCCGCATGCATGATAAACGCCTTGACCCCCTGGACTATCTCTCCAGAACCTTCATATTTACCTATCTATGTTGCGGGGGGGGGGGGGGGGGGGTGGGGAGGGTCAGACCTGGCTGTGCTCAGGGCTTATTCCTGGCTCTCCACTTGGGGATCACCTTTGGAGTGTGGGGGGAGGGGGACAGTCTGGGGATTGAACCTGGATCAGATTCAAGGCAAACAACTACCTGCTCTATTTCTCTGGGCTCTCATATTTGAAATGGGCTCTCTAGGTGTTGCAGATGCCGGGTACAGAAATCTATCACCTAGGGGCCTGGAGCGACAGTATAGTGGGGAGGTGTTTGCCTTACACTAAGCGGACATGGGTTCCATCCCTAGCATCCTTTATGGTCCCCTGAGCACCACCAGGAGTGATTCCTGAGTGCAGAGCCAGGGATAATCCTTGAGCACCGCTGGGCGTGCACCCCCCCAAAAAAAAGAAGGGACCTATTGGGGTCTCCCTAATGGGGAAAGCCAAAGCAAAGCCAAAGGACGTCTCTGAGCTTCAGTTTTCCTCCCTCAAGAGCGCAGAGGCAACAGTATTGGGGGAGCGAGGACCTGGCGGGAGGGGGCCTCTGGGGAGGGCCCCCATCCCGCCCCGAGTCTCCCAGGACGCCAGGCGGGGTTAAGCCAGGGCAGAGGAGCGAATGATTTCAGAGAAACCGCGCCGGCCCGAGTTCCCATAAACGCGCGGGCCGCGGGCTGAGGCGGGGCCGGAGGAAGTGGGGAGGGGAGGGGCGGCCCGGCCCTTGGCCTTCCAGTAACAGGTCTGCGGGGCGGGGTCGCTTCCTGCTCCCCGGGGAGGGAAGCCTGTCTCGGCCGAGTCGGGGATCTACCCGGCCACCCCAACTTCCATCCCCGGACCCAGCGACCCAAAGCTACCTAGCTTCCCTGGGGGAGGCGAGGGGGGAGCCCAGCCTCGGGGGAGGGGGTTGGCCTGCAAAGCCAGCCTGAGACTTCAACTGGCTTACATTTCCAGCCTCCACCCCCCACCCCCCACCCCCAGAATGTTCAGGCACCCAGGGCACCCCAGCTCTGCCCCTACTGACTCCCCTAATGCTTCTGCTATATAGATTCCTAGGGGGTCCCCATTCTCTCATGCACCCGCCCCCCCCCTTGCCCCAAGGTTCAGGACTCCAACTTGTGTTCTCTGGACACTGGAGCACCCTGATTTCTGCTGGGGGGTGGGTGTGTGGGGGGTCCACCTGCCTGGAGCTTCTAGCTCCCTTCCTTCCTCAGTAGCCCAACCCAGGCCCCCCCCCCCCGTCCCCCCCCCCCCGCAGCCCCCCTCCCCCACCCTCCCCCAGGGGGACGGGCCCATTCCCGTAAAGGCTGGGCCCCAGCGGAAGGGGTTAAGGTTAGAGGGAGCACGGGGGGAGGCGGCAGTGACGGGCGCTGACGCGGGAGGCCAAGCAGCTGGGCTGCGGTCAGCTTCTGCGGGAAGGGATTTCCCCCTTCAGGCAGCCTAGGCAGAACTGTTTGCTTTGGGGGAGAGAAGGCGGGGAGAAGCCAGGGCGGGTGGAGACTGGAGGGTAGGTCCTATTCTGCACCCTGTGGGTGAGGCCCCAAAGCTGGGGGCCTGGGGCAGATCCCTGTGAAATCTATTTCCCAGGGGACGCCCCCCCCCCCACACACACACACCAAGGGTGGAGAGAAACCCGACAGAATCGCTTATTTTTGTTTTTCTGAATTTTTTTTCTGTCTGTTTGGGGGGTACACCCAGCCATGCTCAGGGGTTACTCCAGGCTCTGCACTCAGGAATCACTCCTGGCAGTGCTCCGGGACCCTATGAGATGCCAGGGATCAAACCGGTTGGCTGCATGCAAGTCAAGTGCCTTATCTGCTGTATTATGCATTCTGGGTGTTTGGTTCATTTTGTTTTTGGGGGCGGGGTCATAGCCAGCAGTGCTCGGGGCTTACTCTTGGCTCTGTGCTCAGGGATCACTCCTGGCAGTGCTCGGGGAACCTTACGGAGTGCCAGGAATAAACCTGGCTCAGTCACCTGCAAGGCAAGCCCCCTGCCTGTTGGACTATCTCTCCAGTCCTCTGGTTTTTACAGGGAGAAACTGAGGCAAGAAGAGAGCTGGGAAAGATTTCAACCTAGGCCAAGCAAATCATCAGCATCCTGATGATCAAGGATATCCAGGGCTGGGCCTGAGAGACACCTGGGAGGGCACTTGCCTTGCCCTCAGCCTACCCAGGCTCAATCTCCAACGCTCTGGATGGCCCCTGGAGCCAGCCAGGAGTGATCCCTGAGCACAGCCAGGTGTAGCCCCCAAACCAAAACAAATGAAATGGCACATCCGGTGCCCCCTGGGGCTCTGCAGAGGGCTCAAAGGTCCAGAGTAGGATTTTTCAGCAGTTCCAAGGCTGCTGGGGCTCAACTGTGCAGTTCCTGAAATCTGCTTAGGGACCCTCCCTGGGTGCCTGAGCCCTAACAATGAAACTGACCATGACAGACAGCAACAAAGCAGACAGATGCTGTGGTCAGAGGGAGTGTTGCTTTAAGTGAACTCCACTTGCAGCTTATCTATGGGGTAGACTAAAATTCATCTTCATCACCATATTATTATTATTTTGGCTTTTGGGTCATACTTGGTGATGCTCAGGACTGACTTCTGGCTCTTCACTCGGGAATTACTCTGGGTGGTGCTTGGGGGACCCTATGGGAAGCCGGGGATTGAACCCGGGTTGGCTGCATGCAAGGCAATGGCCCTCCCCATTGTGCTATTGCTCCAACCCCAAAGTCATCATATTATTAATGATAATGGGACTGATCATATCCAATCAAAGGTACTGAGCCCGGATCATTGACCAGGCTTTCAGCCCATGACTCATGGACATCATCCGTTGAATCCACACCATGGGTTTTCTCATTGGGGGATCACAAATGAGAAGCCCCCACTCTCTGGGGGTGCCCTGGAGGGGGGTTATTTTACAAAGAGGGTCTGGAAGGGAGTCTGGTTCAGAGTCTCAGAACAGAGCAGGGACTGGCCAGGAATCGGGCCCCTCCAGGTCTGTGTTCTCTAGTCTAGCACTCCCAGCTCCTGGTCACCCACCCGAAAGAGGGGCACAGTCACTTACGTGTCTCCATCCTCATCTGCATAGGTCGCCATGGCGATATCAGCTGACAGAGGGTGTTCCATGGAGTACACCATGTGGTACAGGGGTGAAGGCAGGTTCAGCAGGGGAAAGGGGGTGTTCGTGGTGGGAGTGGGGTACAAGGGCAGCAATGGTCCTGGGTGGAGAGAAGACCTAGGTGAGGTTCCCTGGTTGCTCTGGCAATGTCCCTGGTGTCCCCTTTTGCATTTCATCGGGGGCCCCAGCTGGCTTCACGTCCTCTGAGCCCTAACAACTCCCCCCCGCCCCCATTGCTCACTCTGACTTCTCTCTGCTTGAATTTCACCCCAAACCTCCAAGTAGGTGATGAGCTTCCAAGGAGGGGGCTAAACTCCCAACACACACACGCCTCACAGCCCCCCACCCCCAGTCCGGCAGGGGAACCCTAAGAGCAGGTGCATCTGAGAGGGCGGGAGGGAGGGAAGAAGTGCTGAGAGATGTGGGTGAGTGTGTGGAGTTTGGGGGCACTGGGGAGGGTGAGAAGGTGAGAGGGTGCTGCAGGAAGTCTGCAGGTCAAGCTGTTAGAGAGGGCTGTGGCAGCTAAGGATTCCACACCCACCCCCTTGCTCAGACTGGCAAACTGAGGCCTGCCGTTCCCCCCAGGGAAGAAAAGTGGAGGTGGGCGAAGGCCTGGCTGTCTGCGGTACTATCAGAGCGGTGCTCTGTGTTCTGACAGGGCGGGAGGTGCCCATACCTGGGGGCACTAGATAGGAGCTCCCCGCTGTTTGGGGATCCCCTGGCATGGTGCCATGGGCGCAGCTGTGGGGGGGACACGCTCCTTCCTGGAGTTGAGGTGGGAAGGGGCACCTTGGGGTCCAACTCTTTCTGTCACCTTCCTGAACCCCTAACTCTCCAGGTGGTTCCTGTTTGTCCATTATAAACCCTGATACACCTGGGATTCCCCCACTTTACCCCCAATTTATTGTGGCTCTGAGTCCCTGCTCGAGGAAGCCCCCCCAGGCCTGCCTACTCTTTCTCTGACCTTTGCCCTAAAGCCTTGTGACCCCAGGGGAGGCCTCACCTTCCCCTTTCCTTGATTCCTCAGGACCCGGCTGTCAGGTCTGCGCCCTCAGATCCTGCGACCCCAGATCCTTGGGGTGTTTGCAACCCACCTTTCCCACTAACCGCTCACCTCCACCTCTGTGCCCTTTCATCATGACACTTGGCCCCCCTGGGTCCATCTCCTGCTTCTTTACAACCCCCCCAGCCCTGCTCCCCTGACTGTGTCCGACCCCCACGGCCCTGGATGTCAAAACCCCCCAAATGCTCATGTGCCTCAACCCTGAGTTCTAAGGACTGAAAATTCCCTGAGTTCTGGGATTTCAGGCTGGGGGTGGGGGTCCTCCAGTCCCTCCCGAGTGCCGAGTGCCCACCCCGAAGTGTCCTGCGGGGCGCCCCTCCCGTCTGTCCCCAGCCACCGCTCCGTGACCCTCCTCGAAGCTCGGGGTCAGGCCCGCAGCTGTCCCCGACCTCACACGGGCGTCCTGGAGGGCGCGGGATTCTGCCCGCGGTGGGCCTCCCCGGGCCCGTCCCCCCCTTTCCCGGCCCGACCCCCGTCCCCAGCCCGGCTGACCCTGAGCACTCACCGGGGTAGTACAGCGCCTCGGGCCGCACAGGGCCGGGCGGCGGAGCGGGCTGGGCGAGCGAGCCGGAGCCGTAGCACCGGGCGTCGGCGGGGAGCACTGGGCCGGGGGCACCGCGCGGGGCGGCGGGCGCGGGCGAGCACGGGCGCAGGGGGCGCTTGCGGAGGGGCAGCGCGGCGCGCGGGGGCGCGGCGGCCTTGGGCCGGGTGCGCAGGTCCACGGGCCCCTCGTCCATGGCCCCCGCGGGGCATCGGGGCATCGGGCCGCCGGGGTGGCGGCCGGGCGGGCGGCCGGAGCGCGGCGGTGCGGGGCGGCACGGGACGGTGGCAGCGCCGGGCGCCGGGACTTCCCCTGCCGCCGGCCGAACTGAAGGGACTTTTGTCGGCCGGGGCGGTGCCGGCCGCCCGCTCCCCGCCCCCGGCCCCCCCGGGGCCACCCGGCCGCCCCAGGGGTTTCCTGGACCCGCCGCCCCGCCGTGCGCCCCGCCGTGCGCCCCGCCCAGCGCGCCTCGGCGGGGGGCGGGGGGCGGGGGCCCGGGGCCGGGGGCCGGGGCGCGGGTCCCCGCCCCTGGGCCGCGGGCCTCGGCTAGAGCCTGTCCTTCGGGCCGGGCCCCTCTGCGATCCCTGGGGCTGGCTCTCTCTCTCTCTCTCTCTCTCTCTCTCTCTCTCTCTCTCTCTCTCTCTCTTCTCTCCCTCCCACCCCCCTCTCCTACCCCTATTCTCGCTCTCCCCTCTCCCCTCTCCCTCTCTTCTCCCTCCCTCCCTCTCTTTCTCCTCTTTCTCTCCCTCTCTCTTTCCCCCCTCTCTCTCTTCTCTCTTTCAGCCCCGTCTCTGGCTACTCTTTTGGTGTTATTTATAGCAAACTCCAGAGGGCAGCTCCTTGGGGGCCGGTCCGGGTTAGACTCCCACCTGGTACTGCCTCGGGAGAATGCGGAGCTGGGACTCGAACCCAGGACTCCTGCCTGCACAGCGCCAGCTGTGAGCTCTCTTGGTCCCTTTTTCCTTGACTTTCCTTTAGGGTTGGGAGCTGAGGGGCTGGCACTGTGCTCCTGGGGGTGCACAGGGCGCTGGGGGAGGAGCCCCCGCCCCCGGGGTGCAGATACTGCCCTCCGCCACCCGCAACTCTCTCTCTCTCCCCCCACCCCTTTTTCTTTTCTCCCTGGCTGTGTTGGGGGTCAAACCCAGAACCTCACACGTGAATGCAAAGGCCCGGCTCTGCTTTAACCCTCTCTGCCCTGAGTCTCTCCGTCTCTCCTCATCCCCTTGTCTAGCAAGCTGTGTCGATGTCTCTCCATGTCTCTGCCGTGGGTCTCACTCTCCGCAGCGCTCACCCTCGGTCTGTCTCTCCCGCACCCAGGCCCTGGAGGTGGGGGCTGGAAGCGGGGTTCCAGTCTCCCAACTCCCACTTCCTCTGCAGGTGACCTTGGCCTAGGCACTTCCCTCCCGCAGCTTCCTGTTCCGCAGTGCGGGGAGTGAGCACTGGGGACTGAGCAGGCGGAAGAAAAGGCGCTCGGTCCTTCCCCTGCCTTCTCGAGCACTGAGTAGGGGGTAGCCAGCCCCTGGCCCCACCGCGTCTAGTTCTGCCCCCCACCACCCCCACCCCGCAGTAGGCGCCCAGGTCGGAACTGAGCGCACCCAAGTTCCTGCAGGGTCCCCCCGCCCCCAGCTCTGGCCGTGACTCCGAGTCAAAGAGACCCCCCTCCCCCAGGCAGGAATTATGCTGGTGTACTGGGGCGCTGCCCCTCCACCGGCCCCGCAGCCCCTGCAGCACGTGGGGAGGGTGCACTGGAAGCGAGACCTCCGTGGGGTTGCTCTGCCCACCCAGATCCTCCCGCGCTCCAACCCGGGCCGGGGTCGTGCAGGGTCCGAGCTCCTGAGAGATGGTGGGAGCCGAGCCTTCGCGCCCGGGGAGGAGAAGCGTGGGGTGGGGGCGCAACCCGGCTCCCCGCTTCCCAGGCTCATCCCGGGAGGAGTTGGGTGGGTGGGGAACAGGCCGGGCGGGTTGGGGGCATGAGTCAGAGGCAGGCTGGAGCATGGGGTGGGGGTGGGGAGATGGGGGCGGGCCCCGGGGCCCCGCCCCCTCCCTGGCCCCTCCCCTGCAACCTTCTCCCCGCCCCGGGGAGGGCCCCCGCCCCGCCCCCAATCGGGGCTTTCCCGGATTTCCCAGAGGGCGGGGCGGGCGCTGGGGTTGTGTCCAGGTCACCGGTTACGGGGTGAGGAGAGGTCTGGCGGGGTGCAGAGGGTGGGGGCTGCACCCCGGATCTGTCCAGGAGGCACGCAGGTACCTGGACGGATCTCGGGCTCTGCCCCTATCCCTTCAGTCTCCGGCGGGGTAATGGGAGGGGTCTCCACCTGTCTCTGCCTCCCACCCGCCGCCTGCCTGTTGCTTCTCTGGGCTTTTGAAAGTGGATGTGGGGCCCCCAGGAAGGAACTTTGCCCGGCCTCGGGCCGCACCCCGATGGATCGTTAACCCGGGATGTGGGGAGCAGCTGTGGGCTGCGGCTTGGCCCTCCCCCCTCCTTTCCTGCACTCTCATTAGCTGCCCCCCAGGCCTCTGTCGAGGGGAACGTCTGTTGGCACAGGGCACCTGCGCCCCTGGCTCACTCCAGCGCTGCTCCCTACCTGCTCCTGGCCCCGGGAAGGGGCACTTATTTACTTGCTTATTCTTTAAAAAGCTACTCGGGGGCCTTTGGGGAGAGAGGGAGCACAGCCCAGAAGGCACTTGCCTTGCCCACAGCCCACCGGGGTTCTAACCCCCTCCACCAGCCAGGAGCGATGGATCCCTGAATGCAGAGTCAGGAGTAGCCCTGAGCACTACCAGGTGTGACCCCCCCCCCACAAATAAAAATAAATAAAAAGGTGGATTGGTCTTTTCAGCTTTATGGGAACGGTGGGGAACAAAATTGTGACCTGTTGGGACCCGAGAGATAATATTGCAGGTACCGCCTTTGCCTTGCACACAGCGGACTGGGGTTTGATCCCTTGCCCCCATATGGTTCCTGCCGGCGTGAGTGCTCCCTGAAGGCAGAGCAGGAGCAAACCCTCAGCATTGCCAGGTGTGACCCCCAAACCTAAAAATGAATAAATAGAGCCAGACAGAGGCGAAGGGTGGGTGGTGGAGCGCAGAGTCCGAGGAGGGAGGGGTTTATCAGTGTGGGGGGCCCACAGAGCACCCCTTTCTCTCTGTAACCATGGAGCAATCACCCTGGGTCCAGGAAGGACTGGAGGGTTATGCCTGTGCTTAGCTCAGAAGGGGCTTGGAATGCTGGGAAAGAGGGGTGCTGGTGTCCGAGCCTGCAGGTGGGGGCCAGAGAAGCAGGCCTGAGGGAGGAGGCACAGAGGGAGGAGACATAGCTAAACGGAAAGCGGGTGGTCTGAGGGCGGCAGAAGGGCCATGAGGGCAAAGAAAAGGATCTGATGGAAGAGGTGAGGAGCAGAAGCTCTGAGAAGGTGGAGGACCAGGTCTGAGGGAGGAGGTCACAACGTGGAAAGTCTGAGGGAGGCTGAGTCTGATGGAGGAGGTGACAACTTTGAAGGAGGTAGAGAATGTGAAGATGCAGTAAGGTGTCGAAGGAGGGGTGAGGGCCTGAGACAGGGGGCGTGGTGAGGTGGTCTGAGAAGGATGAAGGGAGGAGAGCAGGACTGAGGGAGGAGGAGAGTGGGTCTGAAGGAGGAGGAGAGCCGAGGGAGAGAACTGGGGAGACGGAAAGAGGGACTTGGACAGGCTCTGTGGGTGGTGACACGTTCCAAGGAGGGAGCCTTGAGGGTCTGAGGGTGGCGGGCAGGGTTGGGGCGGTGCGCTGGGGGACCCAGCGGGGAGGGGAAGGGGGGCCTGCCACCAGCCCCGCCCTGCAGCTGCCTCTGACTTCCCAGAATCTTCTGCAGCGCAGGAAAGTCCCAGCGCCCGCACCTCCCTCCAGTGTCGGGAATGGAGGATGTGGAACCAGGATGGTGGCCCCTCCTTCCCCGGCGCTCCCGCACCCCTGGGGGGGCCGGCTCGCTCTTCTCTGGGCCTGCAGTTTGGGAGGCCCCTGCCGCCAGGGGCAGTCCCTGGACGAGTCCCAGAGTTCTTCCCAGAGAAGGAGCTGCAGTGCTGCTGGGTGTCTGACCACGCTCCCTCCGCCGGCGCCCTCAGCGCTGGGACTTCTCCCCCACAGCCTGTCCTGCCTCCCACATCCACCTGCAGGGTGCTCTGCCCCTCTAAGACAGGGGCCAGAGGGGGCTGGAGCGATAGCACAGCAGGTAGGGTGTTTGCTTTGCACGAGGCCGACCCAGGTTTGATTCCCAGCATCCCATACGGTCCTCTGAGCACCGCCAGCAGTAATTCCTGAGTGCATGAGCCAGGAGTAACCCCTGTGCATCTCTGGGTGTGACCCAAAAAGCAAAAATAATAAAAAAAGAAAGAAAAATAAAGAAAACAGGGGTTGGATCAATGGACAGTGGGGAGGACATTTGCCTGGCACAGGGTTGACTCCCTGTTTCATCCCAAACATCCCATAGGGAACCCCCCCGCCCGGGGGCCAAGCACCACCAGGAGTGATCCCTGAGCACCACCAGGCATGGCCCCCAAACCAAAAACATTAAAATAAAACAGAGATCATACAAGTGGGAAGGCTTTTGTGGGGGGGACAAGTGGAGATGATGGGCGGCAGCCCCCAACTCTGTGCTTGGGGGTCGCTCCTGGTGGCACTCAGTAAACCATGCAGTGCCGGCGATTGAAAGTGTGTTTCTGTGTGCGCAGCCTGTGCTCAGCCCCAGAGCAAGCCTCTCTCAGGCTCAAAATTCCCTGATGGCTGTGTGGGGGAAGTGATAGTACCTGCCTCTTTGCTGAGCAGGTGGAGACAGGCATGCAGAACAAATGAATGAATGAATGAATGAAGTGATGTATATTCTAGCTCCACGTTGTCTGCCTTAAGTCTTTAGGCCAGGCACCCCCTCAGCCCTTCTTGCACTGGGATGAACCCAGTAAGTTACCCATTCTGGGTCCAGTTCCCAGTAGGACTTGGTCCCTTAAAAATTATGTGTGGGCTGGAGAGAAAGTACAGAGGGAGGACGTTTGCCTTGCATGTAGCCGACCCGGGTTCAATGCCCAGCATCCCATATGGTACCTTGAGTACCTCCAGGTATAATTCCTGAGTGCAGAGCCAGGAGTAACCCTTGAGCACCGCCGGGTGTGACCCAAAAAGAAAAAAAAAAGTGTGTGTGTGTGTGTGTGTGTGTCCCTAATCTACCTGTGCACAGAGCTTTCTCCTGGATCTTTGCTCAAGAATCCCTGGCAGGGAACAGAAGACCATAATGGGGTGCCAGGTGCCAGGGATGGAACCAGGCCCCTACCCACTGTACTATCTCTCAGACCCTGGGTAGGGGCTATTAAAAATCTGAGTTTGGAAGGAAAATTCTATCAAAACTTTACAGAGTAGAGGCTGGAGCAATAGCACAGTGGGGTGGGGGA